TCCCAAAACCAGATAAAGACACTACAAAGAAAGAGAATTATAGGCCAATATCCCTGATGAACATAGATGCTAAAACCCTCAACAAAATTCTAGCAAATTGGATCCAACATTACATTAGACAGATCATACACATGACCAAGTGGGATTTATTTCAGGAATGCAAGTCTGGTACAATATCCACAAATCAATAAATGTGATACATCACATAAACAAACTGAGAGACAAAAATCACAAAATCATATGAATTGGTGCAGAAAAGGTATTTGACAAAATCTAACACCCTTTCCTGATAAAAACTCTCAGCAAAGTGGGAAAGAGGGATCATACCTCAATATAATAAAAGCCTTATATAACAAACCTACAGCCAACATCATACTCAATGGGCAAAAACTAAAATCATTTCCCCTATGATCAGGAACAAGACAGGAATGCCCACTTTCACCAGTCCTGTTCGCCATAATACTGGAAGTGCTAGCCATAGCAATCAGACAAGAAGAAATAAAAGGCATCCAAATGGGAAAAGAAGAAGTAAAACTGCCATTATTCGCAGATGACATGATATTCTACATAGAAAACCCTAAAGACTCCAGAAAAAAATTACTAGAACGAATAAATGAATTCAGCAATGTAGCAGGATACAAAATTCACAACCAGAAATCTATGGCTTTTTTATGCACCAATAATGAACTTACAGAAAGAGAAATTTTTTAAAAAATCCCATTTACCACTGCAACAAAAAAATTAAGATACCTAGGAATAAATTTAACCAAGGAGAAAAAGGACCTGTACTCAGAAAATTACAGAACGCTGAAAAAAGAGATAGAGGAAGACATAAACAAATGGAATAATATACTGTGTTCATGGATTGGTAGAATCAACATCATTAAAATGTCCATACTACCCAAAGCTATCTATAGATTCAATGCAATCACCATTAAAATACCAACAGCATACTTCAAAGACCTAGGACAAACTCTCCAAAGATTCATCTGGAATAAAAAAGACCCTGAATAGCCACAGCAATCTTGAAAAAGAACAAAGTTGAAGGGATCACAATAACAGATATCAATCTATACTACAAAGCCACTGTTCTGAAAACTGCCTGGTGTTGGCACAAGAACAGACATATAGACCAATGGAACAAAACAGAGAACCCAGAGTTCCACCCAAGCCATTATACTCAATTAATATTTGACAAAGGAGGCAAGAGCCTACAATGGAGTCAAGACAGTCTCTTCAATAAATGGTGTTGG